TTATTTTATTTTTTAATTTTTTTATTTTTGTGCCTGTTGCACAGCAAGTAATGCTAAATTAAGACAAGAGATGATGTAGTTATTGAATGATATATCCACACACAAAGTCACCTTCCTGAGGGGTATCACTGCACTAGAGGTGTGGAGGTTGACATGCAGGACCAACGCCCCTGGGGCCATGGAAAGGCGTGTGACTAACAAAAACCTCCTGAGAGTCATGCAGAATGTCCACTCCGTCAACGGCTGTCTGCCACAACTGATCACATTATAAATGCATTGCAGCACATAGAGATAAGAAAACTCAGCGGGCTGTGCTGTGCTTTGTAATTAAAAACAGAAGCATGCTGGTTGCACAGTATATAATCCATCTGCTTATAATGTTCTGCTCCCTTCCTCACTGTCACTCCCCATGTCTCATAATTAACTACATTGGCAGTGAGCTGACAATTTCATGAAAACAGCCATAAACTGCAGGAAGATGACAGAATTGTCTTTAGGCTGAGGAATAAAAATTAGTCAGTGGTTGCTCATCCTTGTTGTCAAATGATGGCTAAGCAAAGCTGTGATCATCACAAACATAAAGGTGGATCAAAAGTGACCCCAGTGACGTTTAGCAGCTTATGACTTTCAAACAACTCTTCTAGGAATCCACAGTGGAGTTTGACAGTCAAAGGAAGTGTCTTTAACTCTCACAGGCTTAGATTGGAGGACAGTTTGGCAGCACAGGTGACTTTAATGAACGCGTCTCCGACCAAAAATAAAGTATAAAAAGGCAAAGAAATAAACAAAAAACGCAAAGTCAGCTAATGATAGCAGGGAGTAATGAAAGGACAAACGCTGTGTGTTTGTAAAGTGGAGGTCAAAAGTTCAAAAGTAATTAGGTCTCACCTGCTGAATCAGGCGTGGATCTTCTCCGCAGGTTCTCCACATCTCCTGGCATCAGTGAGGACTTTTTGTGGGACATTTTGTCTGCTTATTTTGTCTGTTTATCCCCCACCTTTCGCTCCTGTATGACCCATGTGCGTCGAGGGTTCAACACGTCTTTATCAAGCCTGCCTGTCAAAGGGGCGGAGTGGGGGATGGCGGGGCAGGGAGGACTGCAGGAGGGTTTTTTTTTTAATCCTTTTATCTATTCCTATGGTCTCATTTTTTGTCCAGCATGTTTTCTATCTATCTTTGTTTCTTTATATAGATCATCCATTTAGATATTTAGTTATGTGTTTGTTTTTTATCTTTAAAATCGGTGTGTGCTGGATTTTAAAATCTGCAACTTTAGTGCCCCCAGTGGTAGAAGCAGGAGAGACAGTGGCAATGTGACACTGCCAACAGGAATGCATTAGGGTGGTAGGTAGGGTAGCTTCACACATTCACTTGAAAATTAAATAGGCTCTGTTTTTCTCTGTTACCAACATTATTCAATCAGAATTATTAGAAAACTTCACAGAAAAAATACCCTGCAGAGGTGCATGTGTTTAGTGCAGGGATACTCAACTTGTCCTGCCCAGGGAGCCATTTTTGCAAAATGACAGGAGGCCAGGTGCTAGTTATTAATAAAAACATTTAATAACTAAAATACAAACAATTACCTTGGACTTCTGTGTGTGGTTCTGGGGGATCCTCCCATTGCACCAATCTTTTATTTATTTATTTAAAAAAAAAAAGCCAAGTTTCTTTTTTGCATTCTGGTATCTTATTTACATGCAAAGTGTGATTAAAAAAATCCAGTGTGACTCCATTTATTTAATATCAGTGCATTGCATTCTGTTACTGAAAACACAGGCAAAACATGAACACAATGTACTGTCAATGCTTTCAGAACAGTGGTAAGTATGGAACAATACGCATTCAATTAAAAAAATTGCTGTTTTTCCTGAATTAATAAGAATATTACTGTAAACCTTCTATTAGTAGCCTGGGTTATTATTTGCTTAAATCACTCAACAGGCCTATATTTGGGACATGCCTTAAAACTGTTGTTGGGAAATACAATCAAATTGTTTATTTGAACCAGTATGAATATTATTTGTATAAAAATTAGGCTTCAATTAACAGATCAATTATGTTATGACACTCGTTTCATGGCACTCATGGGTTGAGGCACTCAGCATACCAACACAGCAAAACTTTATCCTGTTCAAACAATATTCATCTTTTTTTTTTTTTTTCTTTTTTAAACTATTTTATTATTTAATACTTAAGACAATTATATGTCAGTGGACCCTTATAGACTAAAGGAATATGAATGATTTACCAGGTAATTGAGGTTATGACTTTATGACTGCTTCAGATAAAGGGAGTCACCTCTTGATTTTTTGTCATGCCAGTAAATCTGAATTAACAAAATTATCTCAGAATTTGAGAGAAGTTTGTTTTTCTTCTTTTTCTGAATTAAACAGATATTATTGTGTTAATTCCGAGAACAGACTTTATTTCAGGGAAATTTTCCTCAAACCTTGAAGATAATTATCTTAATTAAAAAAACAGAATAAATAATAGCTTCTAAATGGTAATCATTGTTTATTTTTCATACAGTCGCATGCTCAGCTCTGTTCTGTGATTCCAGTGTAATAACAATACTGGAGGAGCACAAACTGGGGTTAGTGTAACTGGAACAAACATGGCAAAACAACCACACAGAAAAGTGTAGGGTTACTTTTATTTACATATAAAAACAAAAAGTACAGCTGCACAGTCAAAGTGACAGTAATTTCTTTTTTACACAGTTGGAAGACTAAACACAGAAAGCATCACACGGCCTGCTGGTAGGAACTTAATCTTTTTGACAGCTTACAAAAACAGAATTATTACTTATCAAGGCATGAAAAGTAAAACAAAATTTCCAAAGTAATCTTCATTTAGTCTCCTAATAATCTTTGAACATGAACATTTTGGGCAGATGTTGCCAAACTGAATCCATAGCAGTGTGGTAACTACTGATAACATAAATAATTCTCCATTAAACACACGTGACATGAATAACTAGACACATTAGACAAACTAATTAGCATCGACTAAGAAGCGGCCTATCACAGTCTACTTCAGCATCTTTTATCCACATTAAGTGTAAAATTAAAATACTAGGTGAAATTTTGGTTACAGCACACATACAGTGACAACTTTTTATAGCATAGTTGACTCTTCCCTTTTTATTTATCATATCAGCAGAGTAATCAAGTGATTTGATATATAAATCTGTACAAATAATACCCTTGTTGAGGAATCTATGAACAACCTATGTACAGTACACACATGTAGAAACAGACACACTGAAAATGAGAAGCATGTAGGAAAAAAGTGACGTCTAAGCCCACTGTAGTCTAAAATACATCGTAGAAAAGATTTTCAACTGGACTGAAGAGGAGAAAAAACATATATGACGCCCAGTTTAGATTGAATATGTACAACAGGGTAACAAAAGTAGAAATACTGCTGTAAAAAAATAACACTTTCAACAAGAAAAAATGTTCTGAAATATACAAGGAGAACTCATTTTGAAAAAGACGGCCTTTCCATTCATTTCAGTCTTTTTCTCAGAGCAAATAAGAAGCTAACTGTTGGTTTATTGCACCATTAGTGTTAGTAGTTAGTATGTATTTTAGCTCAGTAACTTTGTATCCTTAACGAATAACTTAAAACACCCACTGATGTCTTGTCTTTGCTGACCTCTAGTGGTTTAACTTTTCACCTTGCTAGTGATGTCCAACTGTGCTTTGAGATTTGGTGACATCACTGTTGAGTTGATTAGAGGTTCAACCGAGCGGTGACCTCCAGGGCTGAAAAATGAAGCCAACATGGAAGTGCCAAAAACCGCAAAACCTTGAATGACCACTTGAGGCTGGCTCCAGAAGCCAAATAATCCCCATAGACCTCCATTTTAGACCTTAAAGCAGAAATAAACATGTTTACAGCCTGTTATAAAAGACAGTTTTGGTCTCTAAAGCTAATTTCCCATTCATGACAAATGTATAGAGGGTACATTTTTATATAACTCGCCTGTTAAAATGTTATTAAGGCTTAAAGTTCTGCACAATGGAAGCCACATTTATTAGGTAACATAACCATGGTGTAACCCCAGACTCACAGAGTGTAGCGGTAGCCATAGCTGTTGCTATTTCAGTGTGTTTTCAGTTCATGAAAGTTAACTGTCACATCTTGTCACCTAAAAAAGTCCTGTTCAACATTAGGTTGTACTAAAAGACCCTCTAAGGAGTCATTTTGAAAAGTACATTTTGTTTTGATAGTTTTAACTTAAGCATTATCACAGCTAACCATAGCTGTAAATACACCATGCTAACCAAGCTAGCTGCTAGCGTTGGGGTTATCTCCAGCCTGTCATCCAAATATGGTCACTTTTGGCTCCAAAAATCCAAGATGGCGACGGCCAAAATGCTAAATGCTTCAAAACAGGAGTCCACAAACCAAAGGGTGATGCCATGGTGGGTATGTCCATTATTTTATACCGTCTGTGGTGTTATTGGTGTGCTAATACTTTAACCAGAAGAGGGGAGCAAAAAACACAGCTTTTCAGCCTGGTTTTAAGTTTTTCTTTAAATAAATCATGTCACTATTACTTTGCAGATGACAAATAAATTGAGAAAAGTAAAGGCAAGATAATAATTTGGGTAAAAATCTGAAGTAAATGAGTGTACAAAATGAGTCATTTTATACATATTTAACCATTTCTCTGTACCTCCTGGCTTCTGTGTAAGTCATAACATGTGTCACAAATGATTAAAGAAGCCTCTCAAAGTCTCTCTGTATAGATTCTGTGATATAAGTATTATTAGGAGAGGGAGATAATGGTTAGTACCTCAAATTAACTGTACATACACAGAAGTAATTGATGGCTAAGTGGTGGGAGGAGAGAAAGTGAGTCCTAAAAACAAAAATATAACACAAAAGAAGACCTGGGTTGAACAGTATTTGCAAGTAGCCCGTAGCATTTCTTTTTGTACCTGTATGGTCTTCTGTATGAGTCAGGTCTTACTGCCCTGGCTGGGACAGTACAAATAAAGAACATAATTGACTTTCACTGCCTTCATCTTCAAATGTCCTTACCGATAATTCAAAACCCAAGTTGACTGTGTCAATAATCAACATGCCACATTTAGTTAAATGTTGCGACGGGGCTGGGCTGATACTAGCTGATGAATGCACAGGGTGCTGTCAGAATAAAAATATCTGTTTCAAGCCACATAACGTTTAGCTGCCTCATTTGTCTTGCCATCATGGAGTTGCCTTTGAAATTTTCTTGGACACAAATAAAGTATAAAAAAATATTTTTTTCATTAACTTATTCACAACATATTTTTTCACTTTATCCCTTTGTTTTGTCTAAATTAAAAAAAGGAGAAGAAAAAAATAAGACAATAAAAAACTGACCAGCTTAGTTCCATCTTGACCTCTGGGTATTAGGAACTGGATGCACTTTAGTAAGAAGTTTGAAAGTATCCAGCACTTTTTGTCGCTCACTGTCTGTGCACCACTAAGATATATATTGGAGCACTGCTCTTAGAAGTCAGAGTCAGCATCCATAAGCTCTGCCTCCATTAAATTGGTCCTGGAGTGAATGGGTCCATAGCCGGCCCTTCGGCCTGCCGGTACCCGAGCCACGTGGGCCAACCTCTCAGACAGCCCGTCTGTAAGATCCATCTCCCCAGGGTAGCGGGAAGGCCCACTGGGCTGCCAGGTGGAGGCTGAGGGCAGGCAGCGTGGGCCGAGACCCAGATCCTCCGGGCGGTCGTTGAAGGTTAGAGGGTTAGAGAGCAGGCCATAGCTGTTTCGACTGCTCTGGTAGGGAGGGTAGGGACACCTCTCCTCACAGGACAGAGGGTGGGAGTGTTGGAAATCTGGGAAGGACCCCGGCAGGACCTCCTCCTCCAGCTTCTGCTGTTCCTGCAGGTTAGCGACCAGACTGGGGTGGCACGGCAGTTTGGGCAGGCGAGGCACGGAGCTGCGACCGAACTCGCGCTGTCGATAAGCCTGGTGCTCCACCGCCTCTTCTGCTGGACGCACCTCCTTCTTCCTCTTCTTCTTCTTTTTTTTCCTCTTTATCATCTCTGGTGAAATCTCAGCCTCCACCATCCACAGCCTGTTCCTCTCCTCTGGAGGTGGCACTATGAGGAAACAACAGAAAATAAGTCGACAATCAACAAAAGAAGATTAAAAAAAAGATAGAAAAAAAAGGTGAAGAGGGATAAACAGAAGACAGGCAAGAGGGAGGGATGTAAAGCAGTAGGTGTAATGACCTCCCGCTCTCACCTGGTGTACCAGTCGGAGTCACAGAGATGTCCTGAGGCAGGATGGCACCTCGCCTGGCCACCATCTTAGTCACATGCTGCGCCCATGCTGACGACATGTCATTCGAAGGCTCATTTAGCTCAAAATTGATTCCAGCTATGAATGAGAAAAGACAAGCCACAAACTCTCCATTTAGGGACAACTGAGGACAGTTCAAACCCAAAGTACACTTAATGGCTCCCCTGCTGCGCCTCTATAGCTCTGAACTGCTCCAAGCTAAACAAGCACGGCAGCCGCAGCAGCCTCACAGCTTACATGAGCGGAGGAATGTGTCATGCACTTCTTAGCTACAGACATAACAGTTGTCCCTGACGGCATGGTCTCTGTGCCACAAGAAAGCAAATGGAAAATCTTTTCGGGCCAAATTTTTAAGAAAAGAACATACAGTGGTTCTTTACATCAGCACACATGGCGCCACTTTTGACATTATATTACCGCAACACAATGGATATTAGCAGCATATTGTTTGTGGGACTCACAGCACAGCATGTCCTGGTTAGGAACACTGTGTAAGAAATAGTCCCTAGTTGGAAACCCAAGTATATCTGCATGGCTTGATACTTCCAGGTGTAAATGAGAATCTATCTTTTGTATTTTTGGTGAAGCAATCCTTTGCTATGGAGGTAAAACACGGAGCATCCTATGAATGATATGCATACATGAGGTCTTATTTCCACTATAAATCATTAAGTAAGATGCCCTGCAGTTTCAGTTATTAACCACAAGATGGAAGTGTGCAAACGTCACCAGATATGGCTTCCACTGTTTGGATTTTTAACCCAAGTAGTGGTCAATAAAGCAAACATTCACACAAACTTGAAAATGTATTTTAGTGTTTGAAAGATGGTCTCTTAATAAAACTGAGCTGTCAATGTAGTAGAAAGATTCAAATACTTTTAAAGCTAGTGTTATTTGACCAGACAAAACAGAGAAGAAGGGCTGTGGCTGTTGCTCAAGAGGTAAAAGAATGTCAGAATAATCTGAGCAATGAGTTACCGACTAGGAAAATTAACACAAACAGCCCCTTAGGTCACAACAACTTGTATAGTAGGCAAAAATATTGGTACTTGAGTTGCAGAGTTTTGGTTCTAGGTTGTAACTGTTAGTTGCTGTCCACGTAGAATGACCTAGATGAGTTAGAAAAGGTATTTATTAGCATCAGTCGGATAAGACAATACTTCAATAGCTTTAGGGGATGATCCAATGGTACACTAAATTTTTGGAATTCCATAAATTGGTTATGACTGGAAAACTGTGAGCTGACAGCCACATATTCTTTACACTACTTCAGTTCTGCGCACAATTTGACCAATATTTGACTTAAGTAGCTGTCAAGATTAAATGAATAAATGAAGACAAACAATCATTTGTTCACTCCTGATTTCATCTTATGATTTAACCAATGTTTGATTTTACTTTTCTCCAAACATGTAACTACCTCTGCTTTCCAAATTAAGAAAACAAGGTATTAACAGTATATACAAGTACAAGTAGATAAAAAATATATGGGATTATATTCGCAGGAAGTAAAAAATGTACACCGTTGGGTGTGGATGAGGGGCCCACTTTTGGGACCCGTATTTCCTAAGTAACGGCTGACCTGCCACCCGGGGAGCGCATAAATGCAGCAACAATGCAAGCTTGGCTGTTTTTCCACAGGAAACAATATGGCGACTGGCTTGAGTCAAACAATCTCAAGTTACAGTTAAACAGTTGCCTAAAATATTTTTCTGAAGACATTTTGGGTGAGAAACAGGCAATACAGTGACAGAATATTGATCTGAGTTTGGTCTGAGTTTGAGAGATAGAAAGAGCCAGGCCTCACTCTTGATCCACTTCTATACACCTTGTGTCTGAGGTGACCTGCATATGAAAATGCCAAAGTACAATTTGCAGTTGAAGCAACAGCCCTAGTGCAAGCTAAAATCGCCAGATGACACACAATGCTGATAAGATGGAGGAAAGTTTACCATAGTTCATTTACGCATACTACCCACATTGCTATGATGCAAAACTGGTTAAAAATCAGCAAAGTATCTCAAAAAGTCAGCTCTGTTTTCTGTTCTCTCAAGGAAAAATTACACTCTAATTTATCCGAACTTCAGTTTACTCAGAATAAATTATTTTTAATGACTCACCCACTGGTCCCTCATGGGACACGGTGTGCATGCTGAAGGACAGCTCCTTCTCTGGGTCCTTGTGAAGCTCCATCCTCATCGCAAATGCCTTGGCGATCATCTTGCTCTTCTTGATCCTCTTGGGTTCATTGTCACTACGGCCAATGATCCTGACACAGGAACATAAAGCAGGTTCAGACAGAGACACTGACACTGTCTGACAGTTAAAAGACTGAGTATGACACGTTTCATGCCATCAGCAGCCATGTGACACTGGGCAAGACGCTGATTTCCTACATGTCTGATTTTACGTCAGTCTGGATGAGACGGTCTTAAGCCTAAACTGAAAACAATAATTTCACGAAGCTTTTGTTCAAAGCTGGATGGAACCTAAGTCCTGTGAGCAAAATCCAAGTCACAGTGAGGCCTTGTGAGCACTGTTACAAAACCAGGGATTAACACACTTGACCAAATTTATGCCTCCATTCTTTCAAATGATCAGGGTGAAAATCTCTGACAGGGAGAGTCTGCTTGGTTGGTGCATGTTTGGGACTTTTCCACACTGTTATCATATCTTTAAAACCATATATGGACGCGGACAGGCAGGCAGCCATGATGTGAACATGAGCAGTGATCAGAGACTGATAAAGGGATTGAAAGAAAGTCTTTGCTTACTTGCACCAGGTCCGCTTCCAGATGAGGATGGTGGCCTTGGTCCAGACCCAGGTGCTCATCGCTATTCCCGTCCCAAACATGGAGAACAGGTTGATTTTCTCCACCATCAGGCTGGGCCGGTTCTTGATGGTGCACTCTGGGATCGGCTTGTTGGTCTGAGAGGCGATTGTCACGTTGGCTTCACACCTGTTGAAAACATCACACAGATGATCGGTCTATGTGTCGACCACGCCACATGTGCCTCCCACACCTTCTAGCCATATAACTGAGGTACATTCAAACGCTGAATCTGGTAAATAAGCAAGTCTTTTACATGTCGGGGCAAAGGAGAGAGCGGTTTACATTTTTGAGGCTAAATTAATTCCAATCCAGCCAGTGTCAACAGTGTGGAGAAATAGGGCTACATTCACCACTGTAAGCTGAGCGGTTGCGCAGCGGTTTTGGAGACTCAACAGCATCAGTTTGTGGATTTCTGTGTGGAGGGTTTGCAGGTGTGTAATAAATCACAGGTCTTTTTGCCACCTAAAGAAGAAGGACAATAAAAACTTACAGCACATATTCTCTAAAGCTCCTCTCCCATTCAGCCTGGTTGAAGAAGTCGTAGAAGTGGCAGCCGAAGGTGATGAAAACAAAGCCAAAGGCGAGGAATCCAAAGATACCTGACGAGGAGAAACAGAACAACAGATCAGATGTGAGATACCAGACGCGTCACTCCCAATAGCAATCATACAGAGAGGACAATCCACCTAAGAAGATGATGGAATCTAATCTAATCAGGAGTCTATCGTAAAATAGACTACTGGTTAAATCATTGATAAAGGGGCAGAAAACAAACACGACCTGAAGTAGGAAACCTCAGTGTCATTTTAGATCCTTATTTCAATTTTACAGCTATGGTGTGACCTTTACTGAGCCAGCGAGATTTTGAGAAGCTTGTTCATGCTTTTGTGTCCAGTCGTCTTGACTATTTTAACCCTCTATACACTAGCCTACCTCATTGCAAAACAAAAAAAAAAAAAAAAAGTTTGAAGAAAAACTAAACAGAGAGACCATATAGCTCCCAGTATCTTTGAGAATTGATTTTAAAATCTTTCTGTTGGTTGTTAAGGCTCTTAAAGGCATCACCCTCTCCCATATAACAGATTCTCTATTAGCTTATGTCCCTCCATTAACCCTGAGATCCTCCACAGCTGCTCTTTTAACTGTTCCTAATGTCATTACAAAAACCTTTAGGGATGCTGCTTTTAGATACCACAGCCCAAAAATATGGAACACCCTGCCTTTGAATATCAGACTTGCTGGCTCAGTGGACAGTTTTAAACAGTGACTCAAAACATAACTTTTTAATATGGCCTATAACTAGCAGCTATCTGTTTTAATTCTTCATAAGTATTTTTTATTACTTGATTAATTAATTATTGATTGATTAATGTATTTATTCTTCTCTTTTCTCCCTGAATGAGCGCTGTATAATTGTATGGTTTTATTTCTTTGCTCTTTGTCACTGTCGCTGAACTGTAAAGCACTTTGGTCTTCTGTTTATGAAAAGCGCTGTATAAATAAAGTTCATTCATTCATTCAGTAGTAATTTGTATTTTTCTTGCCCAGAGATATTAGTCCAAAATTAGTATGTTGGGAATGATCACATTCTGGGGCAAATTCACAAAAGGGTTGCACAGCTTTTGTGGTCAAACCTGCAGAAATAAGACCTGCGCTGCCAAGCAAATAGCGTCTCAATGCTCGTTTGCAAAAAACAAACCAAAAAAAAACCCTGGCAAACTGCACTCAGCTACACTTTATGGGCATGTTTGCGCTGTAAATCCATTCGAGCAATAACTTTCCTAAATCAGACCTTGAGACGTGGCAGATAGCAGTTACAAGTGATGCGCAATTTATGGTGCTTTCAGCCACCACAATCAATTCTTTGTGAATTCACCCCTCTGTGTTTAGAGTGCCCAATGATGTGCTGCTAAAGACTCTTTAACATTTCATTTTTTCACCTAATACTCAGATTGACCTCGGTTATTGGTCTGATCATAACCAACAAATGACAAATGAAATGCCAAAAGATAATAGAGTAGAGGACATACCAAGTCTCAGCATCGTCTCGTTGATTTTGCTGGCAGCTTTCTCACTCAGTAGACCTGGGTGGTTACTCTTGATGGAAAACAAAGTCATGACACCTAACAAGAGAAATGCACTGAATCAGTTGGTGGTCACTTCTCAAACATAACAAAGCTTGACAGCTTTGGATGGAAGAGCTAAAACAGCTTTTCCAAGGATTTAGTTGTTTGACTTGAAAGAAACTATCTACTCACCCCGAATGAGGAAGTAACCACCGACAACAAGCACCACTCCGATGGGAGCCAGCACAAACCCAGCACGGTATCTGTAGTTCTTGTAGCCCACAAAACATATCCCACTCACTGAGTCTCCGTCCACCTGTGGAGCACCACATGACACAGCAATAACAATTTAGATCTTTTCTTAAGACTAGAAAACATTTTCCAGTCTCAGAGTATCAGACTATATGAGGTGAACAGCTCCCTACGCACCTCAGCGATAGCCAGGATGGCCACAGTGAGGACGAAGGGGATGGACCAGGTGACCATGTGGAAGTAGGAGGTTCTGCCAGACAGTGGCTGGTGGGTGGTGCCCAGGGCTTTGAAGGACGTGTGCCAGGCATAGGTCAGCATGACGAACCAAATCACACCCGACATCAGGGAGTAGTACACGATGATGAAGATGGTGACACATGACAGTGTCTCCGAAGACCTGTCGAGAACAAACAAACATTAAGACGATTTTGAAGTTGAATTTTCTAGTTGGGAATGATCTCTCATCTCTTGACTGATGCATGATGATGATACATGAAAGCAGCACCACTTACGAGGGCTCTCCGAGTCGCATGGTGTTGTCGCTCTTGCACACAATCTCTTCACGCGCTCCATCCAGGAACTGTGCCAGCCAGCCTATACTGCCCACAAAGAAACAGGCGTTGATGTAGAAGAGAATGACAGCTGGGTAGCGGTTGGAGTTCTTCCAGTCGGCAAGAAACGTGGCCTGAAACGGAGGACATGTTGAGAGTCAGAAGAAGTTTGAAAAGAAGACATCGGACAGAATTATGGGTACTGTAGTTATGTCTCACCAGGGTGAAGAAGGTGCAGAGGAGGGTGATGGTGCCGAAGTAAGCGATGTAGGCGTGCATGTCATTGTGCTCCTCTTCAGTGAACAGAGGGTTGTCACACTGGATCCCGCAGCCCTCCACATCTTTGTACCAACTGGACTGAATGTCTGTCTTCACCAGGGGAGCTTCACACTGGCCTGACATGTTGAACTTCAGCTTCTGGACCTCATTCTGCACCCAGAGGACACAAGGTGAAAGGTGAGCCTCTAACTTTAGCTAGAATACAGTAACAGGTCTGTTTGTGTACCCTGACCTCTGACCTGCAGTGAGAAAGACATTTCCCTTTGGGGATCAATGAAGTGCCTCACAACGTTACATAAGAATAAAGCGTACCGAACAGCCCACAGGGAATTTGTCACATTTGAGGAAGTTGGGCCAGCCTCTCTCCTGGTCCACGATGCTACATGGTCGACGTGTAGCCAAACACAGGCTCTGGCTGGGCAGCTCCACCCGACCGTTCTCACATTTGGGCATGTAGACGGCACAGAGTAAAGGCTGGATGACCGACCAACAGCGAGGAGCGTTCCGCAGACCTAGGACAGAATAGAAGGCTTAAAGCTGAGCAGGACTATGAGTACAACTGTTTTACTTAGACACAAATAAGACTTCAAAAGTGCCAATAAACAATATATTGCTGCAGCTTTAACTACTGTTGAGGTTCCTGTGACTTCCTGATTATGGAATCCACTTCAGGTGGTGTTCTAGTTGAAATGTCCAGAAAATTACAACTTCCCAGTGCAAATGGATCACACAACACACACACACAGAGTTTTGGCACTCTAGTGTTTAAGATTCGGGAGAGAGTTTTTATGTTTAGCAATAATTTTGGACTGTCTTAGACCATAAAATGTGCCAGTAAACCCGGAACTCCGTTAGCGCTTTTAGCACTTCGGTTCTCTCGTCTAAAAGTCAATACGTTTTTTGAATGGTATTTTGGTAAAATGCCTCAAATAAGGTCTGTGGTTAACAAAAGCTTAAGCGAGTTTCAGGTTTTGTTCTACGACATAAAACACATCAGTAAATACCCTACTTGTGAATTTTGAAGCTTTTATGTGTCGTAAAAAAGGCGGTTGCTAACAAGTTGCTCAATATGACTACAAACCCTGTCGGGGACATTAAACGTCATCACCCCCGAACAGGCGAGAGTGCTGGCAGTCCGTCATTACAGCTTCTTATTTAGCTTAAACAGTCTGATTTCCCCATTATACAATGATTTTAAAATAAAGCAGCTGAAATGAGTTGAAAGCTTAGTAGGGCTGCAACTAACGATTATTTTCATTGTCGACTAATCTGTCGATTATTTCTTCGATTAGTCGACTAATCATTTCATTGAAAAATGTGTTAAAATGTTGAAAAATGTCGGTCTGTCTCGCCCAAACCCCAAAATTACGTCATCTAATGTCTTGTTTCATACTCACGCCAAAGGGTTTTAGTTCAATGTAACAGGAGAGTGTATAAAGCTGCCAATATCTGAAAGTAAGAAGCTGCAGAAAGAGTATTTAGGGGTACTTTTATAGTACTTTTCTATGAAAAATGACTCAAACTGATTAGTCGACTACTAAAACAGTCACTGATTATTTTAATAGTCGATTAGTCATCGATTAGTCGACTAATCGTGGCAGCCCTAAAGCTTAGTGGCGGTAACGCCAAGAGTCATGCGACCATGGAGTAGTCATGTAGTCCGTTAAAGCCTAACGTTAGCTTTTTACTTCTGGCGATTGCATTTAAGCTTCAAATGCGGTATGAAAGGTGTTCATATGTGAAGATTATCTCGCTGAACAAAACCTGTAAGTATCATAAACTTGTGTTAGCCACAGAGCTTATTTTCTGACATAATCCAAAACGCAATGCAAAAATCACATTCACTTTCTCTTCCGGGAACCAGCGCGATGCTAAACTTCCAGGTTTTGACGTCAGCCCTGGCACACTCTATAGGAATGGCATATATGAATTTTGAAAATGGGTGAAGGGCCCTTTAATGTGATAATGTTGGGCGAACAAAACAAGCATTTTGAAGGGCTCTAGGAAATTGTGATCAGCATCTTTCATCATCTGACATTTTAAAGTACGGATGCACGATAACATTGGCATGTCATCAATGTCGGCCAATATCAGCTTTAAAATCAACAATCAGAATCAGCCAACATGCTTTTTTAAAATTTGCACAATGAATGAATATTTCGTATGTTAAATACATGCATAGTAGGATGGTAATTCCTCTACAGAAGAGACTTAATGATCACTAAATCTAGGTGGGGAAAAAAGTGGATAAATCGATATCAGTATCGGTTAATGGTCAAATGAGTTGTTACATGTTGGCATATCAGATATCAGCGAAAAATCCAATATTGTACATCCCTAATTTATAGACAAACTGAATCATCAATTATCTGCTGTTTAATATAAAGGAGAATAACAGGTAGTTGCTGCCCTATGTTTTTAACGATCACAATTGTGATAAAGACATACGGCATTGCAAAGATGTATTTGAGAACAGTCCTGATGATGGAGTGTGATTTTGTGAAATGTTTGTAATGTGAAACATGAGCAACTAAAACCAATCTCTGAGGATTCCTCAACATTTTATAGAGTAACAATGTCTCCAGCAACTGCCTACAATTTGATAGAAACAATCAAAAGCATATTTAAACCTCTAACAGAGCAAAAATATTGTTTCTTTGTAATTTAATATCCAGCTTAATAAGGAACAGTATGCATGAAAAAGATTTCGTAAACATGAACACGAACACACTGCAACTAGAAAATATTTCATTAAAGAATAATCTGCTAGTTATTTACATGATTAATCGATAAATTGGTTAGTCTATAAAATGTCCAAAAATGCTCATCATATTTTCCCAGAGTCCAAAGTCACATCTTCAGTTTCCTTCTTTTGTTCAACCAACAGTCCAAAACCCAAATATTCTTCATTCACCTTCAATGACAAATAAAAGTAACAAATTCCCACATATAAGCAGCTGGAGCCTGCTACTGTTTGACAGTTGTGCTTGAAAACATGACAGAAACGATTATTCAATTATCAAAATAGTTGTTGATTCATTTCTTTTGATGGACTGACTCATGACTCCATCTGCTGTAAATTACACAGGAGCCAGAATAAGCCCAACATTATAAATAAAGCTCCTCATCAGATCTGGGTTTGGGTTATCTAAGTGCCCTTGAGCCTGTGAAGCAGTGACCTGGCTCTGACAGCTCATTAGTGAGTGCTTATGAATGTGAAGCAGAATATCTAAAACCCTTTTATTAGTGAAACTCTCCTATTGTTAGCTACCTAACACCTATGAGTGATTCCCTTTGTTGCCTTTAATGGCTTTTAACCCTTCATTTCCTGCTCCACTGTATCACACAACCCATTGTCATACCAATTAACATTATTATCACATGTAAACAGAACACAGACTGTTCCTGTGAAGTGGAACTGACGCCATTGCTGATGTCCTTAAACACTTATTTATTATTTTAACTGCAGCAAATAAAAGTTTGAAAGCCAAGTTCTCATTGTTTTTTTAATGTCAACATTTACAGAGTATTTCTGGTAGTCAATAATGGATTTATAGTGAATTATGAAGTTATTATAAGTACTTTAAGTCAGTTATGTCACATGAAGATTCCTAATGACCCTATAGGTATTAATAGTACTATATATATATGTATATATTTGCATTTATTTTCTGTGATTAACTAACATTAAAAAAAAGTAAATCATTTA